GCCCTGGGATAGAAGCTGTTTTTTCAGCCTATTTGTCCTTGTTTTTATTATCCTGTACCGTCTGCCAGATGGTAATAGTTCAAAAAAAAAAGGGGGGGGTGCCCAGGATGAGATGGATCTTTGAGAATGTTTTGAACTCTTTTAAGGCAGCGGGAGCTATAAAGCTCTTCCAAAGAGGGGAGAGGGCAACCAAAGGTCCTCTGGACAATGAGGTTCACCCTCTGGGATGCTTTCCTATCTGTCCCTGTGCAATTGGCAAACCATACAGAGGTGCAATAAGTTAAGATACTCTCTATGGTGCAGCGGTAAAAGGTCACCAGCAGTTTTCCATTCAGTTGTTATTTTCTGAGAAGCCTCAGGTAGTATAATCTCTGCTGGGCCCTTTTGACCAGGGCTGCAGTGTGAGCACCCCCAGGTCAGGTCCTCTTTTAGGGTAACACCCAGAAACTTAAAAACTGTTCCACTCCTGATCTCTCTCTTTCTCTCTCCCTCTCTCCACGATTTCTAGGCACACCATCGCCACCTCCAAGCTGGAAGAGAAGTTGTCCGGGGCCCACAAGAAACTGGTCGAGCTGCGGGCTTTGGAGGCGAGTCTTCAGCAGGAGCAGAAGAAAGCTGACACGCACAAAAAGATGACCGAGTTCTAGGTTTTTTTCTCTCATGTCGGAAAAAAAAAGGATATTTCAGTTCAGGATGGCTGATGGGTGGAAAGCGGTTCCTTTCTTCGGGGTTTCATTCTCTCCCGTTGGACAAGTGGGCTGGATTTGAACAGCTCCCTCCCCTCCCGCCCCAGAAGGAGGACAGTCTAGCTTTTCCTCTTCAGAGAAAACCTCCCCCCCAAAAATCCACAGCAGGTTCGGAACTGATCTGATTGGGGAAGGTTTTCTGCTATAACAGGAGTGAGCGACTATGGCAACTCTAGAACCTGTGGACTTTGACTCCCAGGATTCCTGAACCAGCCCATCCCTGCACTGTGTTGTACCCATCTCTTTGGTTCTTGACCTCTCTAGGACTTCTCTGTGGCTGCTTGGTAGGCCTCTTT